GATTTCAATCCGGCACTCGGGAGATGGAGGCGGGAGGATCGTCCTGAGTTCAACACCAACCTAGGATACATGGTGAGTCCAGACCAGCCTGAACTACATGGTGAGACCCTGTCTAAAAGAAAAAAAAAATCAAAATACAGTATTTACATGGTGAAATCCAGAAGGGGAAGTCTCTCAGGATCACAGAGCAAGTATCTGAGCCTGGGCAGTAGGTGGGTTCAGCCTCCAGGCCCAGGGACAATACGCCCCTCATTCCTGGGCCCAGCTGCCTGTGGGGAACGCAGTGGAGGAGGGTGGGCAGAAGACCTGGGTTTAACAGGCCATTGGGAAACCTGGTTGAGAACTCTATGTTTGCTGCCTCTCCCTTAGACCCTGCTGTGGCTCCCCAGCAGAAATATGGATGTGGCCTGGTAGGCGACATATAGCTGTTTCTTCTAGCATTGGTGACAGCTGCAGGGGGTGCCCAGCCTAGGAGTCCATGGGCCAGAATGGACATGCTCAACATCTGTGTGTCCACTGAGCTCTATAAGACAAAGGAAGTGGTGAGACCAGGTGGCGGGTGAGGCCTGGGAGGAAGAGGGGCTGATCCTGGCAGGGAGAAGTTGGGGGATGGAAACGTCAGCTGTGGTGGACGTGGAGGCAAGAGGTGACTGTAGAGGACCTTCTGTCTGCCCCCCAGCAAAGATCCCCAAATGTACAATAGTAGAGGGCTGGATACCTCTTGAGAGCCAAGTCAGTGAATGTGCCCAGGGTGCCTACTGGGTAGATGGGTAGTGGTCTCCATTTACACAGACAGGAATAACCTAGAGTGGGCACAAGTATATGTGGGCATTGGGAAGACCATTCTGAGCCTTAATCATGTGACAGCCCCGTGCTCAGTGGGGCAAAGGAGAAGAAGAGACATGAGACTTGTGGTCACGTTGCTGCAAATATGCAAATAGGCTAGATCTCCCAACCCCCATCAGGCACCAAAGAGACAGAAACAAACCAGCTAGGCCAGGAAGCCTCCCAGTAAGGGGCCCCTGACCTTGGCTTGGAAGGTTAGTAAGTTTTCCAGGAAGACAAAACAGGAAAGGGTAGCTGAGCAGAGGACGGCATGTGCATGGGCCAGAGGGTGACTTTGGCATGAGCATTGGTCACCCTGGTGTGGCCAAAGCCAAGAGTAGTACTGCCCATAAAGAAGGGGCTGTGAGGCCAGGGTCCCTTTCCTTCTTTTCTCTTCCTTCCTTCCTTCCTTCCTTCCTTCCTTCCTTCCTTCCTTCCTTCCTTCCTTCCTTCCTTCCTTCCTCCCTTTCTGACAGGGTCTCACTATGTAGCCCCAGCTGGCTTTGAACTTGCAGTGACCCTCTTGCCTCAGCCTCCTAAGAACAGGTTGCAGGCACTGCCCACCATGCCCAGTTCCCATTTTAACTTTTTTTTTTTTTTTTGTACCCTTCAGTGGTGCTAAATATGCTGACATTGTACAAACTTACCACCATCCATCTCCAGAGCTCTAACTTCAAACCTGAAATGGAATTCTGTACCTGCCCCTCATTTGCTTTTATGTATTTGGTACAGGGTCTCACTACACAGCTCAGACTTGTAGTGATTCTCCTGTTTTCAGCCTCCCCAATTCTGGGATTACGGGCATGTGCCACCCTGCCCACTCTCGGTGGCCGGCTCAGCATGCTTGCTGGAGGGGCCGGTGTGGCTATCTGGAGCCCCTGTTCTCTGCCCAGAAATGATACAAAGATTTTTTCACTAATACATGTTTGTAGTACATAATGATCACATTCATTGTGGGGAGTTGGTACGTAACACATCTTAATTCTTTTTCTGTGTTCTTCTCCTGCCTTTCCCCTCCCTCCCTCTCTATGCTATCCATTTTCAAAAGTTTTTTTCTTAGGCTGGGGAGACAGTTCAGTAGAATAAATGCTTGCTTGGCAAGCACAAGGGCCTGAGTTCAATCCTCGGTACTGAAAAAAAAAAATCTTTTTTCTTTTCTTTTCTTTCTTTCTTTCTGAAGCATAAAGGGATTCATTAGTCAGAAATTTTAAAAGGAGAGACTCAAAGAAATACAGTTGAGGTTTGTTTGTTTTTTGAGACAGGGTCTCACTATGTAGTTTATCCTGGCCTTGAACTCACGATGTAGCCCAGGCTGGCCTCAAACTCCTGGTGATCCTTCTGCCTCAGCCTCTAGAGTGCTGGGATTACAGGCACGTGCTACCTTGCCCAGCAACCTGAAATCTTTTTCCAGTGAATGGACTCACATACTATAAACATGTAAAGCTGGTACACACAGGTACCAACTAGAATATATTCTCCTTGTTTCCTGCCATCCATCCTTTATTTTTCTGTTTATGTATACTTGTGTCTCTCAGAAACCAGCCAGATATGGTGGCGCACACCTGTAATTCCAGCACTCAGGAGGGGCAGGCTGAAGGATTGCCACAAGAGCAAGGGTGAAACATACAAAACACAGCTGAGGAGATAGTCCAGTGGCATGAGTGCCTACCTGGAAAGTGCAAGGTCCTTAATTTGATCCTGGTTAAAAATAATAATAAAGTTTCAAAAAAATAGGGGCTGATGCTGGTGAGATAGATCAGCGGTCTAAAGAGCTGTGCCATCATGCCTGGCTCCCTTCCTGTTTCTGGAAGCCCAGCCCCCATCCTTGCTGGCTGCCTGATGGAAAGCAGGGCACTGAAGGCTTAAGCAGGGGCAGGGGCTCACCCCAGGAGCTGCTCCCTTTGCAGTTTCTTATTTCCAAGTACTCAGGGCCCAGGGGCCTGGTGCAGGTGACAAACCATACTCCTATAATGAAAACATGAAGCCCAGTTAGTGGTCAGCCTCTGGGCAGGGGCCAGGGGCAAGTCCCCTATAGAGAGGGCAGGGGCCAGGGGTAGGTCCCCTATAGAGAGGGCAGGGGCCAGGGGCAAGTCCCCTATAGAGAGGATCTATTACTAGACATCTTTTCTGGTGACACAAAGGAACTAAGAGTCCCAAGAGCTTCCACCTGCTGAGGTCTTCAGAGGATGTCACCCTCCCAGGACACCACAAGATTCAGATATGGCTCACAGCTATGAGAACACAGGACAGGAGCTGGGTTTCCTGGGAGTTGCTTTCTCTGCAGGCCCTTTAGGGCCTTCCTTCTTGGCTGATTTTCTGCCAGAGATTCAATCACCTCCTTTGTCTCTCTCTCTCTCTCTTTTTTTTTTTTTTTTTTTTTGGTACCTGGGATCAAACTCAGGACCTTGTGCTCGCCAGCAGGCGGGCACTTAGGCTTCTGAGCTAACTCCCCATCCCTCAGTCTTTTCTTTCTTTGGATCCCCTCCTCTTCCTTCTCCTCATTTCCTCCCTTTGCTGCACACCTGTGACATTCATCAGGGTATGGGGGCCTCCCTGTTCCCCAAACTTCTACTGCTGTTTATAGCCTGGTGGTTCCCACATCTGGGTCCAACCTGGACCTTTTTCTCAGTCATGCAGGCACAGAGTGAGACAGCTTTGCACACGCGCATGCGTGCGCACACACACACACACACACACACACACACACTGCCTACCATTTCTTCCCATTAGTATTACCAGCCTGGGGCTGAGACAATTGAGGAGAGGGGAGATGGGAGAGGGGAGAGGGGAG